TACAAAATATGGTGTCCTTTCTATTCCCTTTACATTCTATACAGTAATTTACTCCAAACTATATTATATATACAGTAACAACTGTGCTGGACAAACCATCTAGGGCTTATGCTCACTAAACCAATGGGCTACCGTTATACGAAGTGCTATACAACGCATGGTTATGAGTTGCTAAACAACGCGCGACTATACATAAAAAGCTCAAAAATTGTCCACAACAGGAAAAAATGGTTATTTCTAGTTTTGAGTTACAAGAATTTATTTTTCTCGCTTGTTAAGACACATTTCTATGCCATGGTTGTCAAATATCGTTGAGTCATATCGTTGGCGATTTTATGATGAATAATGAATATAGACGGAATTTAATTTAGAGAATGTGGCGAAAAATAAATTATTCCCCCGGGGGAGGGGGGATAGTACGAGTTGTATTAATGAGAACAAAGATTGATGTACATGAGATCAAGTCTAATTTTTAAGTACGTCTAGCTTTACTCCTTATTTATTCCTCTATCTTACATAACTAATGCATCTTTATCTTTTCTGTCTTCTCCATATCTCTCTTCTATAAATTCATCTTTCTCCTCTCTCTTGTGTTTCACTCTTCTCCCTTGTGTCTTATTGTTTCTCTATTTTTCTTTCTCATTTTTTTTCCTTAAATTACTCTCTTTTCTCTATTCCTATAGTTGTTAATACTAGTTGATGCACACGTGCGTAGCATGTGAATCATATTCAAGTTTTTGCCTCTATTGTGCATAGTTATGTCAAATATCACAAATACTCTTATGTTAATAGAGAGAAAATTCAAGAACAACTAAAATCAACAAAATATTTGCTTCTTTTCTAATTGTTATCATGGCATATAACTCATGATTATAGCAATCAATACTCTATAAGTTAAATAATGATGTCCAAGCACATACATCTAATTTTAATACTGGAAGAACCAAATAGAAGAGTTGAAACTCTGCAATGAAAAATAAGCTAAAGAAAGCATAGGACATCTGTCATTGAACAGTTCAATTGAGGGCTTCCATCCCTCTCTAATATATTTTTGCTAGTATTTCCCTTCTGGTGGAGCAACTTGCCTGTTCTTGAAATACATTTTCTTACAGCACAATGATTTACTTATGGTTTGTATGAAGGTTTTGTATTGGGAACCTTGTTATTCTCATGCTGCTAGCAACAATTCAAAATCAAGATAACTGTTTTATTGTTTTATACCTTTGGAGAATTGACAATAATTATATACCCTAATGCCTTGTTTTCTACTTATGGAACTAGCATCAACATTCTATACAAGTAGAGGGCAAGACTCATATTTAATGTCCCTTAGGCCAACATGAAGAACTTTCATTACAGACAAGAGTAAACTTCCAATACAATGAAATATGCAAATTCTAGAGAACCCTTGGTATGATTTATTCTTAGCTTTAACCTTTGTGTCAATGTATTCCTTTGCTGCCACCACCATATAAAGCATAAAATGTTTTGTTTATCTAGTGCATTAGGATTCGGTTCCTGATGAAGCTAGAATAATCTTGAGAAAATATAATTGCGGCTCAGCCAAACCTGTAAGTCTAATAGTCACCATGCAACAAATTATGAGATCTAAAGTTAAGATATCTCACCTCTGCATGCCAAAAGGAGAAAAAACAAGAAAATAAAATTAATGAGTAAAACAATTCAATAATGTAGTCAACAAGTCATGAAGCCAAAGAAAAGAGCATTAAGTAAGAGGAAGAGATCTTAGCTCTCTCTCTCTCACACACACAGATTCAATAACCTAATTGTTATGACGGAGAATGATTTTACAACGTGCTAACATTTCATCTCATTAATATTCAATTCATCAAATTAACACTGAATTAACATTCAATTTTATCTAATAAGCATTTATTTCAATAAATTAACAATCAAATTCAACAAGTTAGCATTAAATTAATTAATCAAACTAACGCCAAATTAACATTGAATTCATCTAATTTATATTCAAATTCATCCAATTAANGCATTTATTTCAATAAATTAACAATCAAATTCAACAAGTTAGCATTAAATTAATTAATCAAACTAACGCCAAATTAACATTGAATTCATCTAATTTATATTCAAATTCATCCAATTAACACTCAATTAATCAAATTAACATTTAAAACTATTTAAAAAATATTTAATTTATCAAATCAATACCAAAGTAACATGTAATTTCACCCAAGTAAAATTTTATTCATTAAATTAACATTCAATTCATCACATTAATATTCAATTCATCAAACTAACATTTAATTTCATCTAATTAACATTCATTTTTTTTCTAATAAGCATTTAATTCATTAAATTAACATTTAAATTCAACTAGTTAATATTAAATTAATCGAATAAATTTTAAATTTCATTCAATTAACATTCAGTTCATTGAATTAACTTTCCAAATCAAATAATAAAGATTCAATTTATCAAGTTAACACCAAAGTAGCATACAATTTCATCTAATTAATATTCAATTCATCAATTTAATACTAAATTAACATTCAATTTTCATCCAATTAACATTCAAATTTATATAATAAACATTTAGCTCATTAAATTAACAATTAAATTCAACTAGTTAATAATAAATTACTCAAATTAATATTGAATTCATCTAATTTGCATTCAAATACATCCAATTAACACTAAATTAGACAAATTAACATCCAAAATTATTTAAAAAATATTCAATAATTTTGGATGTCAACACCAAATTAACATGTAATTTTATCCAATTAAAATTTAATTTATCAAATTAACACCAAATTAACAATCAATTTCATCTAATTAACATTCAAAATTTTCTAATAAGTATTTAATTTATTAAATTAACATTCAAATACGACTAGTTAACATTAAATTAATCAAACAAACTTTTAAATTCATTCCATTAACTTTCCAAATCAAACAGAAAAGATTCAATTTATCAAATTTACACCAAAGTAACATACAATTTCATCTAATTAGTATTCAATTCATCAATTTAACACAAAAGTAACATATAATTTAATCTAATTAGTATTCAATTTATCAAATTAACATTCAATTTTATCTAATAAACATTTAATTCATTAAATTAACATTAAAATTTAACTAATTAACATTAAATTAATCAAATTAACTCCAAATAAATATTCAATTCATCTAATTTATATTCAAATTCATCAAATTAACACTCAATTAATCAAATTAATATCCAAAATTATTTAATAAATATTCAATTTATCAAATCAACACAAAAATAATATGCAATTTCATCCAATTAAAATTTAATTTGTCAAATTTACACCAAATTAACATTCAATTTTTTCTAATAAGTATTTGATTCACTAAATTAACATTCAAATTNACAATATGCAATTTCATCCAATTAAATTTAATTTGTCAAATTTACACCAAATTAACATTCAATTTTTTCTAATAAGTATTTGATTCACTAAATTAACATTCAAATTCAACTAGTTAACATTAAATTAATCAAACAAACTTTCAATTTCATTCAATAAACACTCAATTCATTGATAAATTCAATGTTCTAAACACAAATTGAATACTTTGGGGGGTCAAATTGATAAAATTGATACTTTAGGGATAAAACTGACAAAACTTTCATACTATATGGATAAAACGTGTTATTATGGGATTATTGTAGATATTAATTTGATGAATTTGAATATAAAATAGATTAAATGAATGCTAATTTGGTATTAATTTGATGAATTAGGTATTAATTTGATGAAATTAAATATTAATTTGATAAATGTTAATGTTAACTAAGTGAATTTAAATATTAATTTGGTGTTAATTTGATGAATTGAGTATTGGTTGAATGATATTAAATGTTAATTTGATGAATTTAATATTAATTTGATGAATTGAATGTGTTAATATGATGTCAATTTGTTAAATGCTTGTTAATTAAATACTTTAGAGATAAAATTGACAAAATTGATACTTTAAATATGAAACTATAAAATATCTATAATTTTTGGATAAAAGTGTATTAACCAATTTTAGAAATCAGGATCAGTCATGAATGGTCCTGATTTTCTAAAACCGATCATGATTTTGTAAAATGGGTTAATATACTTTTACCCCTAAAATATGCATATTTTGTCAATTTATACCTAAAATATCAATTTTTTCAATTTTATCTTAAAAATATTCAACTAATTTGCAATTCGGCAAATTGACATCACATTAACTTTCAAATTCCTCCGATTAAAGAAAAATCCAGCAGACACAAAACCAGCTGAAAAATATGCATGTTGGGCTGGAGATATCTTTGAATAAAATCTGCAACCTGTAGACAAATTTGAAAGACTCCCTTGGGCTTGCAGTGTGAACTACCAACAGTTCAACTGCAATGAGAGATCTTTCTCCTTAAAACTCTCACCCGTCTTTGATCTTGCTGAAGTTGTAGCGCATGTGTAGGTAATTGAAATGGCTACCACCAACTGACCCAACTGATTTCGAAGAATAGCTCCTCCACCAGTCCATTAGAGGAGGCTTGAACATTTAGCTTAGGATCCATTTAGTTAGGAAGAAAAAAATGATAGAAACTAAAGTGAAAGAAAAGAAAATAATAAAAAATATATTTTCATACATATATTTAGTTAGAATGAAAAATTTATTGAAAATTTTAAAAAAAAAATTATTTTATTGTTTGAAAGAAAATAAAGTTATAAAAAAAAATTATAATTATCTAAATTACCCTTAATTATATTCAATTCATCAATTTAACACCGAATTAACATTCAATTTTATCTACTAAACATTTATTTCATTAAATTAACAATTAAATTCAACAAGTTAACAATAAATTACTCAAATTAACATCAAAATACATACAACCCTCTAAAAATATAACAAAATACGAAGCAACATGGCATAAATAAAGTTACCATCAAAACTACATTTGCTCACATGGTAATTCATTACTGTTCTACAATGCTCAACGGACAAAAAATTCAGGCAGGTGGAGCAGCCATTGCCTCTTTCTCTTCAGGTGAGAAAGGAATTGGCTTCGTTGGAGCAGGCAAACGCCCTATGCTATCAACTTTATCTTTTTGCTTTGGTGGGGGCCTTGCTGCTCTTGGGAGTAACCTGCCCTTCTTCTCAAACCACTCAGGTTTGAGCAGTGCCCGAAAGCCTAATTTGTTGTAATACACCCTCCTCACAGACCCACCTGCAGCTTCAACTGCTGCCTTGGCTCTAACTGTTACTCTCGAAACCTGAAACCTCTTAACTGTTATGTGTTGATGAAAGAATATTATGTCATGCCCCAAATTTCATAAAAGCGTGATTACCTCAAGATGAATATGGAAAAAGTTTCAAATCAAAAACAGAAATAAGGAAAAACTTTCAAATCAAAAACTCAAAAAAGGAAGGTACGAGTTAATAGCCGAGAGAATATGGAAAAAGTTCAACACGAGGATCACCTCAAGATGAATGGGCCATGTTACGTGTTCAGCCCCACGTCCCATCAATCTCACTCCATCTCGTATCTGCTTTCCAATTGCCCCTGCATCCTATTGCATAAGAATAAATTACAGTATCTACGTGAGCATCTGACAAATGTGAAGTGGAAAGTCAGTTCAAAATCATAGTACCTTGAGAGTTTTCATTGTGATCAACTCTGAGGAGTCTATTTTCCCTGCATTGATGAGCTTTGCAATCTTTCCCAATCCCACTGGCTGCCACAACATAGTCATTCATCAAGGAGTGAACTCAGTGAAAAATAACAATCAACAACCTCCATCAAACACTCAAGGCCAAATAGCCTTCTAAACAACTATATAGTGACAGATTCCGGCCTTGGCTAGTAATTCTGATAGTGCAAATATTAATGTTCCACCCCAAAAATATACAAACAACAAAGGCAAATAACTCAAAAGATTGCTTGAACCAAGACTCCTGTTCTTTAAAAAGCAGACAAATGCATATGTCACATAATGTAAAGTAAAGGGAAGAGGCAACAAGCTTAAAAGGTCAGTGTCATGCTCATGGTGTCGGTTAAAATCTCTGCAGTTGATGTTGAAGGATTTTTAATGACATTACCATTTGCTTCTAAAATTTTGAAAGGCTTCCATAAGTAACATAGATTGCTGAAAAGAGTCCATATGAGCATTCATTAATTAAGAACCAAAAAAAGGACGATGATTCTCTACGAAGACACGGGTCATGAGCAATGAGGGAAACATTTAGCTGCACAAAGCTCAGTTAAAATCATGGATCTAACTACACAATTGGAAGGAAATTATTAGACCCAACTCTTGCTCTTCTCATGCTTCACCCAGGTTCTTCTTTAAAGACGATCTGTTTTATGTTTGATTCATCTGCTAAGTCATAAGTGGGACTTCTGAGGCTATGAACTCCGTCACTCCTATCCTAAATACTTCCTTTGCCAAGTCACTGAATTTTCAAAATTGGACTCCGTCACTCCTCTCCTAGTTCTGTAGGGAATTAGGACTCCAAAATTGGAGAATTCCTGACTCTTTGAGAGGCCCATGGACAATACATATTTTACATGTCCGGCACATATTGGTAAACCAAAAAACCCTTGATTCTTTAGACCTAACAAAACACTAACGAAATAATCCCAATAACATATTAAGTTCAAACAAACATAAATAGGATGACCCTGAACTAGACTACACATTCTCCAAACCAAGCTCCACACAAAATTCCAATTTTGCTCCTTCCCTGTTTTCATTCTTCTCACCATCTTCCCCACATTCCATATAACTCAACATCAATTTTTGAATTGGCCAAGTAACACCAAGTTTTCTTCTTGTACTCTCCAAGGCTTTACCAAACTTGATTTGAAATGAGCTTAATGTGAGAGAAAATGGGCTAGCTATGGCTCGTCATCATGGGTAGTAACTATTTTCTAGCCTCAATGAGTTCGTTAGGGGCAGAGGATAGCCATGACCATTGTTGCTTGAGGGGGCGTACTATATTAGGGAATGTAGATGAAGATAGGCAAGTCTTGTTCTGAAGAATCTAGGATCTCACTCAGATCTGTTTTTGGAGTGTGGGTGTTGGATTTGCTCGTTCCTTTCGTTGGTATGATTTTCATGTTTCAATCATTACATAACAACTGACTATATTGTTCTTTTTTCTTTTTTTTGGAGCTGCGTTCGTAACATTCCAACTTAAAAAGTTCAATGAGACATCATTGGTGCCTTTTTGAGCTTGTCCCAAAAACTGAAAACATGCTTGTCCATGGAAGTCTGGACTCTGGAGATTGAGGATGCGTGCTATTTATGCATTTTTTGTGGAGACTTCCTCAACAACAAAAGGCATGCATGTTAGCTGATTCAAGTTGGACTTGGTATCTGTTGCATTAGGCGATAAGAAAGCCAATGATTAGAAGTGCATTGCCCATTGTCGGTAGAGTGTTTTATGCTAAAATCACAACAAAGTCTAAAATCTTCAACTGACTTTTGTTCAGCACTTCTGAAACACGCTCTCTTTACCAAAGTCAGTTCAAATGAAAGTCCTGAAGCACTAAACTACCTACACTACATACCAAATCCAAAATATGTGATCCTTTTTCTCCTTCAGCATTTTTGGTTTTCAATCGATAATAAGTTCATCTTTTTCTATACATAAAAAATGAGCAGATACAAAACTATTACTTTCTAGTGTTTTTTGACTACTACATTCATCTATACTATAAAATGTCAACATAGCTGAAAAACATATTTTTTTCATCTTTATCCTCCAACAATGTTACTATGCCATTCTTATCCTCAAAATCAATTACAAATTAAACCAAAATTATCACCTTTATGCTCAACCTACTGTTTCACAATCCTACTGCTGTTACAATGGAGTCTCTCTCTCTCTCTCTCTCTCTCTCTCATTACCCTAAGATTCATTATTGGGTAAAAAACAATCAAAACTCCCCTCTTTTCACCTTCCCCTCTCCCATACTCTCTTTCTTGCTCTCTTAGAGGCTAGATTTTAGATTTTCTATATACAACGTATTACAATCCAATGGATGACTCACCTTCAATACACGCCTCAAACACCTCATCTCTCCTGCTACCATTTACAGTTTGATAGATTGCTATTTTTCACGTACTCTTGATTTCTGTGAAATGGTTATGTGTGTTTGTCTATCAATTTTTAGTTGCATTGTGTTCTTTTATTCTCTGTCTCTTTTCATTATTTTTATCCATGGTTAGATTTCACTGCGTGTCACAAGACGGGTCGAAGTCGTGATTTCATCGTCGCCGTTGATGAAGAAATTTCCCTCCATTAGGTGACTATTGCCCTTTATCTTGTCTTTTGATTTGCAATTATCTTCAGTTTATCTTCAATTTGGCTACCTTCAGCAAAATAGAGATTGAAATTTCTTAAATTGAACATAAATTAATATTATTATTACCGATTGGTGTAAGCTTGTACTTTGTCTAATTGACAATATCCCCATGCTCTATCTCAGGATTTGTATTTAGGTAGGTCAGAAACTAACATTATCAATGTTGTTGGGCAACGAGTAGCATTCGATGGAATATAGTCAATTTGAGTACTTAACGCGGCTGGACAAATCTCTAAACCACCTTAGCACTAATCTTCATGTAGACTGAGTTCAAGACACCTCGTCCAAAATTCTTTAAAAGGTATAGATTCATTCACACAAAAGGTCAAAAGAGCTGACACCAGTTTGTGTGTAAAATTATGTGTAGTGTTGTATCAATGAGGTTTAAATTTGTTTAATCTTTCTTTATTTCTTTGGCCAGATTTTCCACACAACCAACTAGACATACAACATAATATTTCTTCAGATTACTATGTTTTTGGATGGGTTCTTGGATAATTAGTTTCTTCACCCTACCTACGTAGGAACTTAGCAACAACTCATTTATTTTTGATTTTTCAGACTTCAAGGAACACTATAAATTGCACATTTTGATTTGAATTAGTGTAGTTACCTACTTTAGGAATTCGACAATTTTTAAGCATATGCCTTGTCACTGGTGCCTGCTTTATTGATTTCATATGTCACTCCAGAACGATTAGGATTATCATGAAGACATAAGGAGCAAAAGCAACTATATGTTCCCTAACACATTGTAATTTACATGGTTGGCGACAACATGAAAGTGTACCTTTAATGTTAGTGTTGATTGAAAAAATGGTGGTGTAAAGTAGATTTTGTTAATAATCATCACAAAATAGGGCTCATATCGGCCAATATAAACATTCATTGATTGCAAAGTTGAGGAAATATAAAAAAAATAGCTCAAAGTTTGAATATGGTTTAGGAAAATAAATTGCATTAGCTATGTCCCTTTAATCAGATAACTTCCTTTGATCTTATTCATATATCATCAAAATTAGGGTGTAATCTTTGCTTATTGATGAATATAAATATCTACTCCTTTCCTAATCTAAAAATAAAAAATTTATTCATAAAAAAATTATTTCCTCTTCATAATTACACAAATGACTCACATCTATTATATATATTACCCAAAATAAGAGGATCTATTGCTACATCAACTTCATATTCATTATATAATAAAGTGTATTAAAGACCATTAGATACCTAATAGCTACTTGAATTTAGAATCGACAATTATAATTTTAGGGAACAAAATATAATATAATCTATATACACACGTGAACCATCAATATAAAAGTCTATTCAAAAACATATAAAAAATAAACATTAAAGTTATAGTTTAAAATTGTTCACGTACAACGTACTTGTGGAACAACTAATAATGAAAATGTAACAATACCAAATGTTTATTTTCTTACGTTTTTTTCTTATTGCATCAATCTTTTCATCTTAGTTGAAACTTTCTCTAATAATTGGGTTACAGATTGGAAAACAGAAGAACAAGACGACACCATCACTGCTCATCTTCACTGGCAGCAGAATCAATTAGTCAGTGGAAAACTACTCAAAGAACAATGCTCGATTGCAATCTCAACTTCAAGGCATATGTGATGAAGCACTACCTTTCAGCTTCAGATCTTTAAATTATATATATGTCTGTGTGCGCACACGGTTGAGCATGTATATATCCATTATATTTTTTGTTTATGCCTTGAATCAACGATGATCAAAACCATAAACCCCACCACTCTTGTAATTCATGTCTATCTCTCTTTATAGTCCACTTTGTTTGTACCCATCAAGGATCAAAATGTCGTGTCGACACGTCCGAAACGTTTCGGAATTTCAACACTCCGAAACGAAACAGTAGTTGAATCACAAAATTCCAATGCTTTGGTCGAAACGGTACTGTTTCGGACCATTCGGTCGAAACGGCACTGTTTCAGACCGTTTCGATCGAAACAGTACCGTTTCGATGAAACAATGATATATTCGGTTCACTATGAATAATTATATTTAATACCCCACTATAATTATATTTAATACTCACTGTAATTATATTTAATACCCACTATAATTATATTTAATACCCCACTATAATTACATTTAATTCCCACTACTCTTCTACCTTTTATAATTTTTTTGTTATAAGAAAAATTATTACACTTAATACCCTATTGTAATTATATTTAATACCCATTGCAATTATATTTAATACCTACTGTAATTATATTTAATACCCCACTGCTGTGCAAGTATTTTGCTTTTTTTTTTTTGTTATAAGTATTAACAATTACATTTAATACCCACTGCAATTACATTTAATTTTTAAGTATAAATAAGTACCATTAATTTAATTTGATACCCTCCATTATTAGTATTATAATAAAATAATTTGATACCCTCCATTATTAGTATTATAATAAAATAGTATTATTAATTGGATAATATTACCGTAATAATATGAGTTGGAGTAACTATTGTCATCATATTTATGTCACATATGGAGTTTCTCTAAGTAGTTACCCAGAGTCTACACCGATGTATGAGTCTGCTTGACACTCCACAAAGGGATGTATATAGCCATGTAAATATGAACTCATTAGCATTTCATGTGTATTATAAGACCTTAATATTATGTAAAAATGTGTTTATTTCATAAAAATTAAGTATTTGAAACTAATTTAAGTGATTTTCGTCTCATGTCAAGCCTTTTTTCCCTCAAATTTAAATTTATTCTTGTATAAATGGATGTTAACCCAATAAATATGTTGAATTAATCAATTATTTAGCTTATTTTTATAAATTAATGGATTGTATTTGTGTTTCTATGCGTTTCCATATTTTTTCTACGTTTCCGAAGCGTTTCCATTTTTTAGCTTACCAAAACGGTACTTCGAAACGAAATTTTGATCCTTGGTACCCATCAACTTCTACATTTATCTCTCTCTCTTTGGCAATGACATCTACCAACACTGAGAAAATTGGGTTGATGGGCAAACCCACCTTCAAGACGAGCCTTTGACCCCTTAAAAGTCAGGTACATTCTATAATAATTCTATAAAATTAAGTTTTCTTGATTGACTATACTTCCAATAAAATCTGTTTACGTTCTAAACTTCTTGAAATTGAATATTGATCTTTATTCTCTAACATAGTCAATGTCTCTGTTCTATTTTTTCCTTTATTTTGAATTATTAATTTTCATTAACTCTTATTTTTAATTCTCTTCTATATGATACCATAGTGGGGAAACACTAATTATACAGACACTTTCTCACTCTCTCCATCTTGACTTTTTGGTAGACATTTCTTATACCGTATTTATTTTCTTTAATCTTTTTCCCCTCTATTTAAGATCTTTGATGATTCATATATTTGTTTTAGTTTTCGATATGTTCAAACTTCAACTTTGTATTGTTAAAACCAGTGATTTTATCAATTGCTAATCTAAATTATCCATATTTTTTTGGCTTTTTTTTTGGCACATCTGTACAAATACGGTGTATGAAAATAATTCGAATTTTATGGGATGGGAATTTTAACAATGGTTTTAGGTATTTATTGTTTGGGGTGGGAATTTATCAATCTTTCCTGTGAACTGTTGCATACTCTAGGTAGTGTTTTAGTGTATGTTTTTTTTTATTTTGGCTTTTGCCTCTATGATTAGGGATAAGGGATTCAAAATTAGACCCAATTGATGTTTTTTATATTTTTCGAAAATTGATCTCTGTGAGATTCTTGTTTGAATTGATATGTTTGTCTCTATTTCATTGGAAAATTGATCTCTGTGAGATTCTTGTTTGAATTTATATGTTTGTCTCTATTTCATAAGATCTCAATTCCTTAGTTTTTTGGTATCTACATGAGCTACAGTTTGTTGGTATCTACATGAGCTACATTACTTGTTTTCCTTCTTCTTCCCTTTCTTTTTGGGTTTCTTTCTGCAAATTTGATCTTAGCTGGCAAATTAATAGACATGTATATGTTTTTTTCCCTAAAAAAAGAGAGAGAGATGTTCTTCATTTCTTTTTATTACTTCTTGGAGAATTTATAGCTAAGCATCTTTTGCATTTGTTTAACATCGTATTTTGATTTGTGCCATAAGGCCCATAACAACATGTCCATTTTGCTTTTTTCCTTTTTATCTTAATAAAAAAAAGCTGAAATTCCCACAATTATCTTAATGGTTTGTCTTTATCACTTTCATTTTTTTTTTCATAAAGTATCCCAAAGTTTATATATCTTATTACATTCATGGGGATTATAGGATCAATACTTTCCTGGAAGGAAAAAAAAATCAACACTTGAAAGTTTTGATTTTAGAGTGGAGGGCCAATGTGGGTTAGTGATTCACTTTGGAAAAAATGATTTGTAGGAATTTTAGTATTATTTAAAAAAAAAAAAGGGAAGTGACCTAACATTATGTGATAACATGTGACTCCTAATAGATTATCCTGATCTTTTGGCCTACCCTTGGAATAGAAAACAAGAGAATATTGTATTCAATTACAAAAATAAAATTAAGTTTTAGGGCTGATATGGTGTGTTGGTTCTTTGTTGGTGCTTTGCTGAACATAGTTGGCTACCATTTTTCAGATGTCTAGGCTCTTTGATTTTCAAATGTTTAGGGCTAATGTTTTATTCTAGATTGTGTACAGCTTTTCTTATGAAATTTGAAGTCTATGTAGGATTGTAATCCATAAAAAGACTGATGATTTATTTTAGTAGAGATATATAAACACTGATAACAAAGTTTGTGTAGTCAAGACTTTCATTTAAAAGGTAAGGGCAAAATAATACTATCAATGAAGGTAGATTTTGTTATGAAATATCAAGTCCATTGCCATTGTCGGAAGTGATAGGCGTTGTCAGGGCCGGTTCTGGAAAGACTCGGGAGCATTCCCTGCTTTGGTTCATGTCGGTTCCTTCAAGTCATTTAGTGAAAATTAACGTTTTTTATTTAAATTTTATAGTCATTTCTTTATTTTTTTACATTAGTTTCCGAAGTGGTACATTAGTTTCCAAAGGGCACCACTTCAAATACCTTTAACTTCATCCTTTTAATTTTACTTTCTAAATTTGTAGTTCAGCTCATGGACATTATTAATGTAAGGCACATGGATTTATGCTAATACTCTATATATGAGAAAATGATTGAATATGCTTGTAAGAGAATATGTAAATGCTAAAGCATAGAAGGTCGTCTTTGCTTAAGACTAAGAGGTATGGAATTCACACATGGTGCAAAATAAAAGCAATTCATACTCAAATTATAATTCGAAATGATTCAAATATCAAGAAATTGAAAAAAAAATTATTTCCAATTTTATCTTTAATTAATATAATAGAGTCAACCATATGCTCTTATATCTTGAGATCTTACTTTAGAATATTAATAAATATCTAAACAACGATGAAAATAAATTGTTGGGAGAGTTTAAAAACTAACAAATTTAGCAGAGATAAGGACATAGTTGTTCAAAATAGGTGGCCAAAATTTACTAACTACACAGCCTCGATAAAAGAAGTCACAATACTCTATTTTAAAATGTATATAATTTAGAATTATGTTATTGTTTGGACAATCATACGATTATAAAAATAAACAAAAATTCAATCTGGTGTATTTGACAAACACTAGAAATCAACTATCAAAATATAGATCTGATTTGCAAAAGGCAACACATCTACCAAGTATTGACCAGGAAAGTGTAGAGTGAGTGTTTTTTTAATTATGGAAAATAGTTGGAGAATATTCAAANCTTTGCAAAGGGCAACACATCTACAAAGTATTGAGCAGGAAAGTGTAGAGTGAGTGTTCTTTTAATTATGGAAAATAGTTGGAGAATATTCAAAAATATTAAAAGCCGATCAAGAAAAAAAATACAAGGATTTTATAAAATAAAGACTCTCGTGATATCAATTCTATAAAAATAGTACTTGCACATGCGCATCAATTAGTAAAAGTAAATATCTTCATCTGTCAAAATGGTAACTCTCATTCAGTGATCTTGCTCAGACTTATAAGCGCATATCATTTCCAGACCAAAACAGCGAGAAAAAAAAAAATCAAACACCCACAAAGCTAATATTCTAGAAAATCACAAAAATGAAAATATAAATTTACGTATGCATACCCAAACAAATCAAACATATACCTGAAATGTTAGGCTAAAGGGGTTCTTAAACCCGCGTTTAGGCAACCGGCGACGGAGCGGAGTCTGACCGCCTTCAAACCCAAACTTCATAGTCCCCCTAGCTTTCTGACCCTTGTGACCCCTCCCAGCAGTCTTGCCTTTCCCTGACCCAATTCCACGACCCTTCCTAGTCTTCTGCTTTCTGGCTCCCTTATTATCTCTCAGATCATTCAAGCTCAAAAGACTATAAGCCCTAATGCTTTGAGACCCAAACAATCCATTCAACATAGAGCCAGCATTAGGGCATTGTCCGCAATGTAACGATGAGAATTGTTGAGATGATGAAATGGGTAAGAGTATTGAGTCGGGTTTGGTGTAGATTGAAGCATTGCAGATTGAAGCATTGCGTATTGAAGCTGATAACAAATAAGATAGTCGTCTTCTTAACATTTCTTGTGCGTGCGTGCGTGTCTGAACGGGCTTTTGATTTCTGGCTTTGGGAATTTTCAATCAAATTGAAAACTAGGGCTTTGAAGGGTTTAACTAGTTAGTACTACGAGTGAATCTGAGTGGTAGCCTGAGCATCCTCGATGGACGCCAGAGTGCCGCCTGAGCACAAACCGCTGTTTTTTCTAGCCTCGATGAACGCCTGAGTGTTGTGTTCTTCTCGCTTGTTCTCTGCCTTTTGTGGTTTAGGATTTAGGGCAAAATCAAAATGGCCCGAATAAAAATAAGAAACGTGAATTACACCTGGACCGTACGAAATTTGTCACTAAATCACCCAGACTCTCTGAAGTTTATAAACATATATTACTTAGATATTTTAAATTTAAAATATTATATTTAGATTAAAAATAATTCAACCAAATATAAAATATAAAATATTTTAAATTTTATAATTAAAATTCATGTTCTATTGTGTCATTTATTGAAATAAAAATTCAATTTTTTCTTAAAAAATCTTAATTAGTATACAATTGTATTGTCTATTAGAATTTAATTTGGTCATTTAAATGACTAAATTAAAATACCAAGTTATCTCAATTAAAGCTAAAAGATTTGTGTCCATTACAGTTTGACTCATTGTTTAATTTTTAGTTTTATTCTAATAGATAGTATACTAATTATGATTTTTTAAAAAAAATATATATTTTTATTTTTAATTTTATTTCAATAAATGACATAATAGAACATGAATTTTGGATGAAAATTCATGTTCTACTATGAATGACTTAGACCCCTTGTTTGATTTTTTAATTTTATTCCAATAGATAGTATAATTGTATACTAATTACATTTTTTAAAGAAAAAATTAAATTTTTAATTTTAATTTTATTTCAATAAATTATACAATAGGACATGAATTTTGGTTATAAATTTAAAATATTTGATATTTTATTTTTGATTAGAGTATTTTTTGTTTAAGTATAATATTTTAAACTTAAGGACTCTAAGTATTATATACCTAAAAATTTCAAATGATCTAAGTATAATTTATTAACGAATATATTTACAATTGAGTTTTAGTGTTACGCGCGTACAAACTTCAGAAGTTTTTGCATGTAATATTTCAAATATCAAGGATTTAAGTGATAAATCTCATAAGGCCGGATATAATTCTCCCAATAAATAATCTACAATTCTTAATGTGATCTACATCGGTCTGATGAAGATTTGTACTCCATGATTGTTGTTTTTCCTGCCAAGTTGCATTAGTTTAAGCTTTTGTTTATGGGTGTTCAAATTTTCGATCGACAGTAAGTTTCTATCCTATCCTATTGAATGGCTAACCATAAAAATTGGGTAAGAATGCAGAAAAATTTTTGATCTTTCAACAATTTTTGGGTAGGAATGCGGAATAGTCATCCATTTTTACATTTTTATCCTACCCTACCCGTAATAATTTTTTAATATATATATAAACAAAAAAAACCCTAAACTCTAGCGGAACAATTATGATTTTAATGTATTTTCATATGGTTTAAAGTTTAAACTTAAATTAATTGTTATTGTATTTGTGTAACAATTATGGTGGATTGATGTTCATACTTTCTTATGTTTTATTATAATTCTAGTTGTAGTTGTTTTAGATTTTAGTATTAATTGATTTATTGTGTTGTTAAATTGGTGCATGTTATTTAATTAAATTGCTAAAATGATCCAAAAATTAATTGTTACAAAAATGTTTACCCGACTTCCTACCCGATTAATCGGGTAGGAAGTCGGGTAAGAATATCACACCTGTCAGGTAAGGTAGATCAATAAAAAATTATTTCGCAAAGTATCGAATAGGAAAACGAAAGAGCATATTTCCTACCTGTAGGGTAGGGTGAACACCCCTACTTTTGTTGGCTATATTCTCTTATGAACTCTTTTCCAAAGGAGAGAGTACAAATTATCTTTTAATTTTGGTTAGTGAGATCCAAATGCTAGTAGCTCCATAACACATTAATATATTTTGATCTTCTAAGATATGATTTTTTATTTTTTTGAATTTAAATTAAAAATATAAATTGATGGTGGGCCTATTGAAATAAAACGAGTCTCATTTGGATTTATAGTGGAGCGATTGAATATTCAGGAAAAATATTAAGAGAAAATGGTAAGATACCTAAGAGTTTATTGAGATTCAGAGTTGACTGAAAACAATCTTAGGTAGAATGGAATGTTTAACCTTACTCAACGGGCACGTCATGAGAATTGCTAGGCCACCAGAAAGTTGTTTTTTGAATGATCACCAGAAAGTTGTACAATAGCTATCTTCATAGATAAAACTATGACAAGTGTCACTTGGTGCATCGTCTCAGTTACTCAAAAAAATGAAAACATTTCAAAAATAAAATAAAAACGATAAAAAATTTAAAAATTTATCAAAACTTCTTGAAACATCCAGTAATATTAGTGAAAACATGCCTGAAATATCTCAAAATAATCCAAAACATCCCGAAACACATAAAACACCTCGAATCATTAAAATTTTAATTTCATCGTTGATTTATTTCAATTTTTTTTAAAATAAAAATATTTCAACCATTTTGATTGTTGTGAAATGAAATTTTAATCATAGGGTAGTTTGAGCCTGTCCCATACTTGCCATCAATAGCTCTTAACAAGACTGGTCAAACCAATAAAACATGGACATCAAACTATTGGTTAAGAATTTATCCTTTAACGGATCGACATGAATTCAACTATACACAAGAAGAACCCAATTATACGAGACCGGATACTAACATGGCATAATCCCAAATATACCCCTTAGCCATGTTGGTATAATGACACAGTACAAAGGAAACAGACCCAACCCCAACATGTAAGAGAGTTTGGGTAAAAAGAAGATTCATTTGTTCTCTATTAGAAGCGCATAGAGCCATCTACTTGATGAATCAGAGCTGTTCTATCAAATTTCTCAAATTAGCAAAAAATAGAAAACGAAGTGTACATGTATGTGAATCAACTATTCTAAGCTGGGAACAAAAACAAAACCCTTAGCATGCCTGTTTCATTTGCCTGCCATGGTACAATGGAAGCCAGGGAGTAAAATTAGCTTCAATTGAACACTGAGCTTCATCAACGGTCATTCAAGCACTCTGTTGACAGTCCAGCATTTCTGAAATTCTGACAAGCTGCAACCCAACTCCATATGAATCACCAAGGAAAAATGTTGGCTTATATATCTGACTACGGTCCTTGATTCTTCAGTTTCTTTGAAGTAATCGGGGCAAATTCCAGGCTAAAGCAGCTTCTCTTGAAAAACTGTCTAGCATGTTTTGTTTGTGTGTTTAGACTGTGCTAGTCGCAAGTTCTGTACTTGTTCTACTTGTTTCAGTATCAGCATTGCCATATTGGCCTCTCTTGGCATCACCCATGGATGTTCTAGTTTCCGGAAGAGGAATGTGGGAATTGTTTAAAGTACAAATATGATCTTTTTTGGACCCATCTGAAGATGATTCCGTGCCAGATAGAATTTTCTTTAGCTGAGACCGCTGACAGACAATCCGTCCCTTGTTCCACCCAGGAAAACAAAAGGATGATGAAACATTATCCTTCAAAAAAGAATAAGCAGCCTTCGCAACAGGAAAATCTCGTGTTATTGAGCTCTTCTCCATCTGCCCCCGCCTGCTTAAAAGAAAGAATCCATTGTTACAAGAAAATAGATAGTATGGAATGGGGGGCTAATACACACACATGCATACATATATATGCATATAGAGAGAGAAAGAGAGAGAGGGTTGAAATCCCAGTCCAGATACTGCCTTTCAAAATACTCATTTGTTTATTTGATATGAGACCCAATTTCAGTTCAGGTGAAGTAGACAATTCCTCTATAACATTACCATCACCCAGTTGGCTATGGACATCTTTAATTGGCAGGAGACAAATATATATAGAAAATTCTTGGCTCGCCTTTGGCTGTCCAAAAGTTGGAATCCGTCTATAAATAAGACAGCACCCAGAACACATTGTAGACAAAACCCAACCCAAGCACAATTCAACCAAATACCACACCTAAAAAAACATTTGCTCAAACTAGCTTCATCAACACTAAACCCAAACTTAGTTCGGGCAATGCCATGACATTGAAGAAAGTAGTATAGAGTTAATTTCCATGGTGTGATCATGCAAACATATACAACCAAATTAGGTGTGCTTATTAAAACAAACTACTTAACATTTGTTGTACTAGCCCGGGCCCTCCTGCTTGGTGACTGTCAAGACCACCAGCCCCATAGGCATTCAAAATGACGAGAGTACGAGTAACCACAAAGAAAAAAGAGCTTACACTACAACAACAGTTGCCATTTGAGGAAGATCCTCCCCATTTATCAACATCTCCTGCATATTGTTGAGCCAAACTGATATTGCTGTGCATGCACCACCAGGCCACATTCTGCAAATCAAACATCACATAGGAGGAATGAACACACAATAGCAAACATTTCCTTCCTTTTTTATGTCTTTATCCTTCCTATCTTTTCAGGAAAGGACAAAACTTAAAGTGGATAGTGCCAGTGATACCTGTGTACATCCACAGGCCAAACAAGTTTACTGATACAAAATAGTTCAGGAAAAATCCCCCGCTTTGTTGCTTCAATGAGCACTACTGCAGCCTGTTTCTTTTGGCCCAGCCACCAAAGTGCATCTAAAAGTGTGTTGTAGCACCTCATCCCCAAACCACAACCTTCAGAGTTCAGTTTGTCCAAGACGTACTCTACCATCTGCCAATTAGAAATATCATCATAATCTCCCTTGATCATCTGCCCAATCACCTGATGAATGTTGGATACCCTATTCGTAAACATCTCATCCAGCAAGCCATTGGCCTCATCCCACCTGAAAATAAGGACTTCAAAATGTGAGACATTGAGCAGACAGAAAATCAAGAATGGTTCAGCATGCTTTCACATCCAGAAAATTTGATGAATTCAATTACTACTAGAGCACCTGAATCAACAGATACGGAACATTTTGGCACCTGTAATTGTAAAGCTCTAATTCGCTTTTTGTGCAGAAAAATTCAATGAGTTCCACAAAGGCATAAATAATTCCAGTAATTATTGATTCAAGTTTTGACCTTTTACAATAGTCTGCAATTACAGGAATTCTCCAACATCATTGTGCAAGAGATTACAGATACAGAGCAGAAAAGAACAAGTGCCAAAATTTGCATCAGCTTCATCCGGGTGCCAATGCTCTAGTAGAGAATGGCCATGTTCTAACAATATATCAGAAGTACTATTAGCCGTACTTATAGTAAGACATAAAGAGGGCAGCCAACACAACAACTCTATTTCACTCCAAATTTTACTGCATCTACCCAAATTGTATTTAGCAGACATTACTATGTTATTTCTAGAATCTTAAGAGGTCAGTAGAACAAGAATAAATCACCCATACAATGGATAGTCCCATTTCCACAAAAATTCCTGCAAAATTTTATCCAAAAAATTGGTAATCAGGAGATTAGTACAGGCATGCCAAGATGCAGAGTTTCTGACTCTCAGATTAAAATGCTGAGAATCAAATATTTCTTCATCATAGAAATTGAAAAACGGAGAAAGAAAAAGGAAAAATAAGAAAATAGTCTAAGTGTGGTATCTATTATTGAGCCTCGAAAAACATAGATCTGCACAAACCGACAATTATTTTTCCACACTAGGGCAATTACCGGAATGGCTATGCTTTATTACACATCAGTTTTCAGTTTTCAGACAGCTCCAATTCAAGTTTACAACCTTTGAACCCAAGGGACAGACTACAGACAAGGTGGCCAAGGGTCCACCTTAAAAAGTTAGCAGCCTTGATTGCATCAGTCGATGCTCTAAGCGGTCCGTACACTTGCTTGTTAGCCACAAACTCAACAGAATCTAATAGTTATGTTCTTACAACCCAACTTAGCCAAAGCTTAAATCCAAGCTATTTGGGGTTAGATAATTGCCTACATGAGCTAAAATCCATGTCTGAAGCATGCACACTTCCACTTCTCTCTTCACTGCTCCTTTATCAATTTAATTATTCTAACAATCCCGCAAATATTCTTGTAACCCCACGAGCCTAACATTAAAAAAAATCAAGTGTGGAACTGGGGCTGGCCGTGGGTCAGTTCAGACCAGGAAATGCAGAGGCCACGACTTCTTGGCTCAATCCAGCCCCATGGGCCAGTATTTTGTTATTCAAGTGTAACACCTATTTTTAATTTTCGTACTTTAAAATCATAAATAATATATAAAGAAAAAAACAACATAAGTATATGTATAACAGGTACTATTCCAGACCGTGCCGGGCAAACCTAAACCTCTGGTTCCGACCCTAAGTTTTCACGGCGTACCACCCACCCATGGCCATCCCCATGTGAAACCTTTGAAGCTAAAAATCTTCAAAAGGCCATATATGGAGCAATATAAAAAGATGAGATGCTACCTTCAAGAGGAAATAACTAACACACATACCTTTAAGGTTTCTATAATATAATATAAATAAATGTTGTCTACAACTTTTGTAGGGCAATGGCATCGAGCAATAAAAAATCTTAAAAGCCACAAGAAAAAGTCTGACATTGTAATTCTGAATTTATACACAAATATGAAGATATGAGAATGAGAATAATCCCATTCCATTACAAACAATTGTCCTATACACATCAAGCCATCAACTATAAGAGAATGTGCAACTTATAGATACTCTACAATCCATACACTTCCCATGTGTGGCCAACTATCTTGTATGAATGGGCCAACCAATTCTACTCAACTTAATAAAGCCTTAATTCCAATTATTTAAGTTGACTATGTTGAAATATAATACTTAAATTACACCATCTCCAACAGCTTAAACTTTTTGAGTAGATGATTATTTAACATGGTATCAGGGTAGGAATATCTGTGTTCGAATCTCACTACCATTCTAATTATAAAATAGATTTTCACCTGATAGGCTTAAAATTTAGTATGCACGTGAGGAGGTGTGTTGAAATATAAATACTTAAGTTACACCCTCTTCGACAGCTTAAACTTTTAGAGTAAATAGTTGTTTAACAGACTACATAAATCTTGTCCCTCCTTTGTGCTTTATCAAGGACCATATTATCTGTTAGACCGTGAAAGTGAGGTATAATATCATATTTTACCTCTTCGTTTAACGTTATTTAAACATGCATTTACTTTTTGCATTAGCATCGATATGTATTAAATCATTAGTTCTTAGTGATGCATTATTAAGTCTTCTATAAACATGTTCACATTATCTAAGTCGATATTCTCTCAATTTATTTTCTTTTGGTACTACTTATACTGTTTCACAAATGTACTTATTCATAATTCTATTATTTCCCATTTTACCACATATCTATTTTAATATCTTCATTTCTACAAACTATATATGTGTCTTCCCTTGCTTTTTTTCTAAACATCCGGGACTGTTGAGTGTTTACACAAACATTATGTGATTCAAGTTAATATTCAATCTAACAAAGTTTTATGTTATCTATCAGTTACATAATGCAGCACTCCTTTATTAGGGCTTGGGACTAGTCGTGTAAAAGATAACCACTAAAACTTGACAATGGGCAAACCAACTGCATCCATAATAATAAGGGAAGCAATTAGACTTGAACTCAAAACATCACCTACTTGATATTTTTGTTAACTAGCAAGTTCTCTAATAGTTCAATTGAATAGAGGGTGAAACTTAGTATTCATAAACTCAACATTATTATCAGAAATCAAAAGCAAACAAATATATGTGATGGAATCACAAGATCATGATAAGGTAGAGCAGTCATCTTGATCCCTATTTGACATTGTTTGGAAGAATAAGGCTAACAGTAGAAAGTCTTGGACAGAAACTTCGCGACCAAAGAGCTAAAATCCAAAAACCTTTCACTTGCATTAGAAAGTGTTTGTCTCCAATGCCAATTGTTGTTGGTTCTAAAGAAGTCGGGGGTGGAGAAGTCCAAGTCGATGCCAAATCTTATTGAGTGCTGGCAATCATGGCAAAGGACTAGCCAACAATGACACGACTCAAGTTGTACCCAACTCGGAACCTTTTGCTCCATGTTTCACGTAAATACAAGTCTCATGCGACATGGATAAGGCATTCAAAACGTCTTGAAGCCAATCCCTAGTTCCCTCAGCCATCATCATCAAATCAGCAAATACCATTTCGCCAACACTGCACCAGCACGAATCACTTGTAATGTTCTACTCCTTCTTTTACCTAACATTTCATTCGTATTGTCCAAAAACCACTCTGTGATTCCATGACCAATGCATTTCAGTGTCTTCCAAATTGATGGCCCATATTACCCTTGAATCATGCTGGCAATCCTATAGGCTATTGACTTCTTCCTGTTCCCTGTTTGGGCAAGCCTTTTTATTCCTTTACTAAACCAAACCAGATTATTCCCTTAAATCTACCTTCCACCTTTTCACACTTTCCAAGATGCAACATCTATTGAGAGTGGTTTGGAGGTAAGAAAGATTTCCAACATAAGTAATAGATGAACCAACATAATGGAGATTGGAGAAGGTAGTAAAAGAGCAGGTCCAGAGGTGGTCTTAGCTACTAGATCTTTAGGAAAAAGAAGTTGGCTAAATAGAAAGAATGGCAAGGAAAGAATTGGTCTGGGCTACATGTGCTGGCAGTTTACAAGCTCGCCCCTACCTTCCATTTTTCTTTCCAAAAACTGTGGTTTACCCATACATTGCTATTAAGTAAGAAAACAGATCTCAAATTAAAGGTTGAAAGCTGAAACTTAGTATAAATGGTGCCAAACAGAGTGGCATATAGCTGCCAATGGATAACTCACATCGGTCCAACCTGAGGCTCAATTAGAATAAATAAATGAACATATTCATCTAAGAAATATTGAAACTTCCAAGCGGAATATAATACACCAAAGAGAAAATAAACTAATCAAATGTAACATGGGTCGTAATGAGGTGCTCATGCAAGAGTGGCCTTTTCTAGGCATAGTAAAAAAAGGGTTGGGAGAAAGGAGGGTGATTCAAAATTTTCAAATCCATAAAGTGAGAAGGAGCCTAGAATCGTGGATTATGATGCCACCATGTATGAGTTTGGTCCTCAGTGGACTTAAACATCAAAACTAAACCATGAAAATTCTCCTCTCAAGTTAGCTTTTGTCCCTAGAGTCTAATTGATGGTATCATGTCAAAAGAACATCACCCACTACATATTCAGGTGGACGTAGTTGGAGCAAATGACAATTAACAATATGGAAATGCACTAAAAAATAATCTAAGTTGCAATGCAACCATGTTAAATCAATGTAAAGACTGTTCTCAAGTCTAGCAAATGACAATTAAGAAAACCATCAGCATCTAATCAACTCTTGCAGATTAAAATGTACAAGGAATCATTAATAACTGTATGAATCACTGACCTGTCACTCTTTGCATAAATGGACAGCATCATACAGTAGCACATGACACTGGGTAATATTCCCAATGCTTTAATTTCCTGAAATTGCTCCATACTCTCATCAACAAGACCTGCAAAGCAGTAAACACTCAAAACCGCCTCAAGGGTCTGCTCATTGGGATCACACCTCACCTTTTCCATCTCAACATAAGCCTTTATAGCTTCTTCAAATTGGCCTCCCTGTCTAAATCCTTCAATGAGACCATTAATAGAATCCCTGTTCCGTGGAACCCCAACCTCACTCATTCTGGACAAGATTGCTTCAGTCTCCTTGTAAAGTCCCCCTCTTGAGAATGTGTAAATCAAAGAGTTGAAGGTCTCAACAGTTGGTTTGCTCCCAACTTCATTCATAGTATTAAAAGCAACAAGAGCCTCCTCATACAATGCAGCCTGTCCATATGCGGCAATTACCCCTGTAAAAGCCTTCGAACTCGGGACTAGTCCCTTCTCATTCATATGAAGTAAAATTTTCTTTGCATCCTCATGAAGCCCCCCCTTTCCACAAGCAAATATCAACCCCTCGTAAGTCTCCATATTTGGCTCAACATTTTCCTCCACCATATCGTGAAATAAAGTCACCACCTCCTTAAAATACCCACCTTCACCAAACACCTCAATAAGAATATTGTAAGTACTAGCATCCGGATCCGTGTTACTCACTTTCATCTCAAGAAAAAGCTCCCTAACATCATCATACCTACCATGCTTCCCATACAAATTCAACAAAATAGTATAAGTCGCCGCATTGGGCACACACCCTGCAGCCTGCATTTGCCTAAACACCCCCATTGCCTCCTTAATTTTCCCTGAATGTGCATACGCCTCTAATAGCACATTATAGGACGTTATCTCTGGTAAGTTCCCTCCATCTTCCATTTCCCTCAAAAGCTCTGAAACCTTTTCTAATTTCCCCAATCTCCCAAATGTATCAACTAAATAACTGTACGTCGTTATATCCGGTACAATCCCACCCTCATTCATTGTCCTAAACACCATTTCTGCCTCATCCCCTAAACTCCGATGGGCACAAGCACTAAGCAATGTATTATAAGTAACAATATCGGGTTGAATACCCTCATGCCGCATTTCGGCAAACAAACTTAACAACCCCTCCCATTCATACCCGCCTCTAGCACAAGCATTAATCACTGTATTATAAGTCAAAATGCTCGGCTGAACTTTTTCCTTTTTCATTCTCTTCAAAAGTTCTAATGCGGTCTCAAACTGGCCATTTCGACCATATGCATTAATAATTGAAGTGAACGAAAATACACTACGCGGAACACCGTGGCTGGGCATTTCGTCGAATATCTCATAGGCTTTATCTAAAAGTCCTTCGCGGCCAAGCACGCCAATCATGATTGTGTAGATGTGTTCGTTGGGCTTACACCAGATCTGTCGCTGCATGTACTTGAAGAGGCGGAGCGAGCGCTGCCAGTCGCCGCGGTGAGCGAACTCTTTGAACACTAAGGCAAAATCATTGAGGGAAAGCTTGTTCTTGAAGGTGTCAAGGCAGCGAGCAATGCTGCCTCGTGGTGGGAGGCTAGAGAGCTTGTTGATTAGGGTTTCGACGTCGTAGCTGTACTTGCCTTTCTCGACGGTGACCGATGGGTTTCCGAGGACTAGTTCTTTTCCTCTTGCTCTGAGAATGAAGGAACCCAGAAGTCTCCGGCCTCCGGTGGCTGAGAGGTTGCTGGGTATAGTGGCGGGAAATGGGAAATGGTGGAGGGTGGTGGTGGTGGTGGTGCGGATGAGAATTGGGGAGGAGAGAGACTGGCAAGAGAGGGTCATTTTGGTGGTGTGTCGGTGAGCATGAGGCGTTGGGGCTGTGGTCTAATGTCGGGATTTGTGTGAGGTCGAAGATGAAGAAGATGGACTGAGGGAGACTGAGTTCCGGGAATGAATGGGGGCGAGCTTGGGGTTGACGAAGGACACGTGGAGTGAAAGTTTTGGATAACAGGAGTTTGGCACTTAACAGTAATGAAGACTGGTATTCAGTTATAAACAGGATTAACCGATACTAATTGCCGGTATCATCTCTTATGTTCCGTTTGAGAGGAAAAATAGAAAGGGACGCATTTTTTATCATTTAAGGAACGAAAATAAGAATAATACAATTTTTTTTTTTTATGTTTGGTTGGATGGATAAAAAATAAACATAACTAAATTTTTTTTATTTTTTATTTTTTGTGCTATCAAAGATTAGGGATGACAATAAAATCGTGTCGTGTCAGATTTATATTGAGTTATTACAGATTTATGTCGAATATTAATCAAATCTAATTCAACTCATTTAACTAATTGTAATGTGTCGAATTGCAAGTTGATTTATTTATTTTCGTGTCGTATTTGTATTTGTATTCATACTGACCCATATAAAACTTTGAATAAAAAATCTAACGCTAATATTCTATTTTCACTTAATTGAATTTATGTTAATATTTTTTTTACAAACTAAAAATTAACTTAAATAAATATAATAATAATAAATAAAAATATCTTTTTTATATAATAATTATGTCAGTGTTTAATATATAGTTACAAATAATTGATATTTTATGTCTATAATACTAGTTAAACATGTTAGTTTCGTGTTAATTTTGTATTATCATACAAATAAGAAAATAGAGAAAGTGTTTATTTTTAAATAAACAGGTTGATGGTGTCAATTTTGAGTTTAACTGATTGAACTGAATATGAGTCTTTTATATTTCTTTGTTCACGTGCCAGATAATTTTTAAATTCGTGTCATAAAATTTGTGTCGAGTTCGAGTTGCGTTATCATGTTAAGTCAAAAAATTTTACTCCTAATTAAGATGAAAAAATATTTTTTTAATTTAAATTTTTTATTTTTTATTTTTAATTTTTTTTAAAAAAATACATATATAAATACATATTTTATCATTGTATTTTTATATGAAATTAATCTATACATAATAAATATATATATTAAAAGATATGTAAACAAATAAGATACATCTTAATATAAATAATTAATTTTTCATCCACTTCCGATTTTAGAAGGATTGATTTTGGTGAATTGGAAGAAAAATTAATTCATTCACTTTTTCATTCTTCCTATTTTTCTTCCTTACCAAATATAATGTTTTATTTCTCCCTATAACTTTTCATCCTTCCAACTTTCTATCCGTCCATTTTTTCATCATACCAAACGGAATATTAACGAGTAAATATTTATTACAACAGTGTCACATAGAATACATCGTATAAGATAAGTGAACTTTATTATTTTAATATGTTAGTTAATCAACAGAGTGATTATTGAAAGTTATTAAAATAGTGGAATTCACTTATCTTACATGATATATTCTTATTAATTGATAATATTATGTGGTACCGATGACATAATATCACCATTATAATGAATGTTTTCTCCTCGTTCACAATATGTGGATCTTAGCCACCCATCCCCCCTTCTTTTTGGCACATCATTGGCTATTTTTTTTATTTTTTATTCTGAAAGAAATAGAAAATTTCATTAATCATAAATATCTAAAAAGAAAGAATTGCACTATGAAATCAAATCATTTATTCCCATGTATCATCAAACTCATTAAGACAACTTGCATACCTAGCTAACTGGTGAGCCATATTTATTACTAGTGCGCCTTATCCGTCACGGAACTTCAATCCACCAACATCTCTAAAAGCCCTCAATTTTCAGTTTGATTTATCCTTCCCATCTTTCTTCTCAGTATTAGTAAGAAATTCGCTCAAATCACTAGAACAAATCCAGGGTAGTTCGTTATGTAATCGTAGCCGGCATATCAATAATCATGTCTCTACTAATTCTTCATAAAAACCTATTAAATGCCATTTCCTTTGCCCATTATTCTCATCCACATTGACGCCAATATGAGCCCGTGAAAAGCTCTACAAAGAGACAAAGATGTCTTTCTACCATAGCAAAGCCAAACCCCTCGACTACTCAATCGCCTCCACAAATATCTCATTAATTATCAATTGCATTTTCAACCTCTTAGTACCATCTATTTTACATTTTGTTTCCATCAAGACAACAAAATTAGGCCTTCCCTTCTTCACAAATTCGTAAAGAAAATGAACTATCCAAAGTTGCTCAATATCTCGGTAGTTCCAACTTAATAGATTCATGGTGAGCGGCAAGTCTGGATACTAGAAAATTGACGTCGTCTCAAACTCCATCAAAAGAGTTTACCTTTCCAATTTGTTGTCATTTCTAGGAATCCACGAACACCTCCACCTCCCAAGAATTTGTCGAAGATTCCCCCCCTCTATTGTATCAATCACTAGCTTCACATAATCATTCTTTGACCTAACCTGCCTCTTCCAAGTTCTCAGGGTTCTTTTACTATTTTGCTCCACTAGATTGATCCCTTTCCCTTTGCATTTATATTCATATTCATAAACTTGTTTTTTGTTGGGTTAGGCCCCATTTGTAGCAATGCCACTATCTGTAGTTTCAAAGGTAGATTGGGTTTCCTTTGTAGTTGGATCTAGGGTGGCTATGACCACATATGGGTAGGGTTTATTCACCCTCAAAGAGTTAAGTAGTTGGGCCCTCTGCAGGCTTTCTCCAAAAGTTTTATCGTTTCTCACTCCAATTTGAGTTTTTGTAATTGAAAGTTCCTCTATTGCATAATCCAAACTTATACTACTCCCCAAATTTCTGCCTTTTATCACTACTCTGTTTTTCATATTCAGATTACTGAGATCCCCTACATCCATGAGATTGCTCCCATCTAGGTCCGTAGTTTCTTGCTAGGGGTGTTCATGGGTAGGATTGAACCACGAGTCTCGTTACTCGGTCTAAAAAAATAGTCCCAAAGTCCGATAGTTGACCCTCCCGAGTTCAAGCCCAATATCATTCAAGAGAAGGCTTAGACTTATTCTCAAACCCATTATCTAGCCCAAAACTTAGTCCAAGACTCTACTACTTATTTAAATAAAATTATTAATTATTTATTTTTTGTCCATTTGACTCTATTTTTAATTAAAAAATATTAAATTATAAAATTTTTAAATGAAATTGTATATATATATAAAAAGGCCCACCCAACAGTCCTGCCTAGTGAGTGGCAAGTTGGGCTACAGGTAGTCTACTCCTACCCAAATCCCAGCCCAGCCCCGTCTTTAACTTACTGGAGTAAGGGTTTGGGCCTACGCTACTCAACTTAGCTCAAAAAAAATTTGCGGGCCTAGCCCAGCCCAGCCTTTGGACACCTTTATTTGTGGCTCAATACCCATCCCCTTCTAAGGAAAAAATATTGGGTGTAACCGTCCAATAATAAGATACCATGTGGACAAGTAGATCCCACATAATTTAATAACTACTCTGTCAAGTCATTTATATCCACTCAAGTGAAGTTCAGCTTATCTATTTGTAGGTTTATTATTAAATGATGAAACCACATATCAATAATGGCATGATGTTACTATTACGCCCAATATTTTCTCCCTTCTAAGACCCTAGTCGGACCATCATCCGAACCTCGCTTTCCACTCCAGCCACCGAACCATCATTATTACTAGTATGGTTAGCTTCAGTAGACGATTTAAACGCCATAAATCACTTTATAATTTATTAAACAAAATTGCAAATTTAATTCGTCATAGTTGTTGGATTACCCGTGAAATCTATTCAAAATTGGGACATGTTGAGAATCCAACTATAAGTTTCTTATTGTGAATGTTTTTTTTTGTTTTTAGTTAGGGGCAGAACTAGGATTTCACAAACATACTAAAATATTTTAGGGTTCAACACTAAATTACTATTAAAATAGTAAAACCAATTTCCATTTAACTTAAATAAAATATGAACAAAAACTGTAAAATAACCTATATTATTACATTTCAACTCAATCACATATTAAAGTAGAATATGATATTATTTCAAATCTCAAAATTTGTCTATAACCTATTGATGATAAACTAAATTTTTAGTTATTCTCTTCAATAGACAATACTACATTATTCGTGATAAAAAAAAATTGTTATTCTTTGTTGTGATATTTAGTTGAAATCATCATTTATTTCGTTGATTTACTCAATCCAAAAAACAAAAAAAATAATAATTATTTTTTTTTGTTGGGGGGGGGACCACTATCTTGCAAAAAATAAAAAAGTTAGGACCATTGTAAATATTTCCAAAACCAAGGAGACAAATGTATTAAAATAACCAAGCTATTATCCCTTAACAATACATAATTAGAGGGATTCAGAAACTCAAGGGGGGCAAGTGCCCAATTTCCTCTCTATGTGACTTCACATTTGTTTTTAGTCCAATTATATGTTATTTTTGGGCTGAGTTGGGTGGATGAAATACTCCAGATTTAAAAATCGTGGAACGTCAATTAATTTGTCTCTCTTTCTCACTCTCTAAACCTAGATTTTTTTATCAATCTTTATTTCTAAAACTGTTTATCTTAACTTTGGATATTTACCTTCTAGTTAATCATCTCTTTCTCTCTCTCCCCCTCCCCCCAAGTGAAAACATACATGCTTATAAATGATTAGATTTTCATTTTCATTTCATTTACAATATCTACTGTTTTTTGGCAATTTTACTTCTCATATAATTCTCATTTGAAAGATTCACATTTTGTCATCAACTGATTTACTAGAATCTCACAACACCATACACCAAAACATCTAGTCCCCCAACAAGAAAATCAATAATTAAGTATATACAACTCTCAAGACTACAAGTATTGTCATTGTGCTCAATCTACAATTGTTTATGGAGTGGCAAAGTTCCTGAAAAAGAGCTTCAAGATCATTGATTTAAGCCT